GCAGCAGCCTAAGCCTCTCAGACCTGCCTCTCGCCTTTTGCCCATTCTCAGAGTCCCGTAGCCAGGGCAGGGCCTGCTGCTTCCAAAGTCACCCGCGCAGTCTAGTCCCTGTGAAGCCTCTGAGCTGGGGTGAGATCCACGGGCCAACCCCCAAGTCCCTTTGCTGCCTCGACAGCCCGCCCCCAACACCAGCCCACAGTGGAGGGATGGGGGCTGCGTGGGGCCCACAGGGCTGAGGCTGGGCTGGGGCTGTGTGCACCCCACAGGGCTGAGGCTGGGCTGGGGTTGTATGCGCCCTATAGGGCTGAGGCTGGGGCTGTGTGCACCCCGCAGGGCTGAGGCTGGGGCTGTGTGCACCCCGCAGGGCTGAGGCTGGGGCTGTGTGGCCCGGCAGGGCTGAGGCCAGGGTGAGGCAGGGCTTGTGCTGTACAGAAGGGGCAACTCCACCAGCTTCGTACTTTTCTCCACAGGGTCCATGAGAGACCCCAGCCCTTCCCCCACGCGTCCCCCACTCAGTTAGTTTTGATGTGGCCGTTGGCCAGGGCGAGGGGGCCTCCGGGCTCCCCCGGCTCAGCGTCCTTGTCGAAGCGCAGGCGGAGGGTGTTCCGGATGATGAACTGCTCCATGATGAGGGCCCCGCAGAACCAGGGCACGGCGTACTCCAGGGTGATGAGGCCCATGAAGTCAAAGTCGAACTGGGAGTAGTCCCAGGGGCAGGCGTTGAACTGGCGCAGGATGAAGCCGGTGGTGAACTCCCACAGGTAGGTCCAGAGCGTGTAGATGAGGCAGCGCACCAGCAGCGGGCAGCGGGCCCGCAGGCGCAGGTACATGCGCTCCACGATCAGGATGGAGGTGCCGTAGATGAAGAGCGCCCACACGCTCGTGACCCCCGGGAACTTCCAGTTAAAGTTCACCACGAACTCCCAGGCCGCCGTGAACATCACCTCGCAGAAGTAGCCGTGGATGGCGTACAGGTACCAGCGGGACAGCGCCGTCAAGGGCTCCACAGAAGCCATGGTGCCCACCGGAGCCAGCTGCTGGGACACAGAGGAGACAGGTGAGAGGGGGAAGGACGGAGGGAGGCAGGGAGGGCTGAGCCTCTCCTGCTGCCTTCCCACCATCCAGTCCAGGTCTCTGACGCAACCAAGGCCGAGTGGATTTCAAACCTGCCTCTGCCTTTCTCTTTGGTTACCAACCATGATCTCGACCTTATTCCATGGTCATTACTTTATCCCATGTTCCTTACCTGAGCCGTGGGCATGAGAAATGAAGAAAGCAAACTACCTCACTGGCTTCCTCTGAGTAACTCTACTCAAATGCTTCTTGAAGGAAGGTGTCTGCTACCCTTCCTAGACTAGCTTTTTTGGATGTGGTCAGTGAGAGAGTCAGCTGGCCTGGTCCATCAATCACCCCCATTTCCAGGCTACGAGCTGGTTTCTCACCAGGCCCCCTGAGGTCCCCATCTCTTCCCTCACTTTTCCTCATGTTTCTGAGATCTTTCTAAGCAAGCCATCATATTCGTCTTTCATGCATGTGTGCTAACGTGTATATAACAACATTTACCATTTTAGTAATTTTTAAGTGTACAATTAAGTACACTGTTGTGCAACCACCACTGCCATCTTTCTCCAGGACCTTTTCAACATCCCCAACTGAAACTCCACATCCATTAAACACGAATTCTCATCCCCTCCCCAGCCCATGGCAACCACCAGTCCACTCTCTGTCTCTATAAATTAGACTACTCTAGGCACCTCATTTAAATGGAATCATGTAATATCTGTCCTTTTGTGTCTGACTTATTTCACTTAGCAGAGTGTCTTCAAGGTTTATCCATATGATAGCATGTGTCAGAATTTCTTTCCCTTTTTAAGGCTGCATTGTGATCCATCTATCTAGATATATCACATTTTGTTTATTCATTTATCCATTAACGGGTTGCTCCTACCTTTTGGCTATTGTGAATAATGCTGCTCGAGTCCCTGCTTCCAACTCTTTTGGGGATATACTCAGAAGTGGAATGGCCGGATCACCTGGTAATTCTATTTTTATTTTTTTGAAGATGGCCTTGCTGTTTTCCACAGCGGCTGTACCGTTTTTACATTCTCACCAGCCACGCACCAGGGTTCCAGTTTCTCTATATCCTTGCCAGCACTTGTTATTTTCTGGTTTTCTGAGGATGGCCATCCTAATGGATATGAAGTGGTAGCTCCTTGTGGTCACATTTGTCCTTAAGTGCTCCCTTAAGCAGGGCTTTGGTGTTTAGTTTCAATAGTGAAAGGAAACCAGTGAGCTGACAGAGGAGAGAATCTTCCCTCCACTTCTCTTCCCCTCCCCCTCCTTTCTCTTAAGGTCCAGTCCTCAGGCCTCTCTGCTTTCTCCTCACCCTTCCCCAGCAGCTGTCTAGACCACTCATTGGCCCTTTATCAAATGCCACCCTATTTACTATTTTAGGCACATGCCCTTTTGATCCAAGTAGGCTGTGTACTCCTTGAGGGCAGCAAATGTTTCCGGTCTTCTCTTCCGCAGCCATGGCACAGGCCTCTCCCAAACAGGCATTCTCTATATGACACGTGTTGTTTATGGGGACGGTGGGATGGGGGAGTCCAGGGCTGCATCGAGGACAGGAAGACAGAGTATGGGATCATGAATCCCAGCAGGGCCAGCTGCCAGTGGATACCAGGCTTGGCATCGCTGTCAACCCCCTCTCCAAGGTGGGAGAGGGGTCAGAGGTTAACAAGATGACATCTGCAGTCTGCCCACCTGTCTAGGAACTCCAGTCTCATTTTTCAGCAGCCTAGTCACAAAATGTACACCTTTATGCATTGCTTTATGGTCTTCCAAGCACTTTCATTCACATTTTGTCATTGGTTTTTACACAATTAAGATTAATGTGGCCCTACCCGGTTTGGCTCAGTGGATAGAGCCATGGACTGACGGGTCTAGGGTTGGATTCTGGTCAAAGGCACATACCTTGATTGTAGGCTTGGTCCCTGGCCCTGGTTGGGGCACATGCAGGAGGCAACCAATGGATGTTTCTGTCTTTCCCTCTCTCTAAAAATCAATGGGGAAAAAATATCCTCGGGTGAGGATTATCAACAACCAAAGAAGATTCATGTGAAGGGCAGGTAATTTTACTCCCACTTTTTTTTTTTAATCCTCACTGGAGGAAGATATGCTTTTCGTTGATTTTAGAGATAGGAAGAGAGAGGAGAGAGAGAGAGAGAGAGAGAGAGAGAGAGAGAGAGGCATTGATGTGAGAGAGAAACATCAATCAGTTGCCTCCTATACGCACCTGGACCAGGGCTAGAACCCACAACCTGGGTATGTGCCCTGACCAGGAATGGAACCCACCACCTTTTGGTGTACAGGATGACGCTCCAACCAACCAAGCCACACCAGCCAGGGCTTTACTCCTGTTTTTTAAGAGAGATAGTTGGGGCTCAGAGAGGTCATTTGCCCATATCCCAGGGCCAGTGAATGCAAGAGCTGAGACTGGCATCTGTATCTCTTGACTTTAAAATGCATCCCACTACAAACTACTCTCCATCTCCTAGACATGAGTGCCTAGTGTCACTCCCCTGTTCAAAAACCTTCAATGGCTCCCTATTTCCTAATGAAACCCTACACCAAGCATGTCAAACACGCAGCCCACGGGCCGCACACGGCCCACAATGAATATTTTTGTGGCCCAGCCAATACAGTGGTATGCACGAAACATTTTAATAACAATTTCGTAACTTAATTTTTACAATATCCTGTTATATATAATCCTATATAATAAAGAGGGAATATGCTAATTGACCCTCATGCTGCCGCAAAGATGTCAGCGCCCACAGCCAATGAGGGAATATGCTAATTGACTGTCCCGCCCTCAAAGATGGCGGCGCCCACAGCCAATAAGGAGGGAATATGCTAATTGCTGCCACGCCCTCAAAGATGGCAGCACCCACAGCCAATAAGGAGGGAATATGCTAACTGACTGTCACACCCTTAAAGATGGTGGCACCCACAGCCAATAAGGAGAGAAAATGCTAATTGACTGCCATGCCCTCAAAGATGGCGGCGTCCAGTCCCCTCAGCCCCACTGGGGCGGCAGTCATGAGGCAAGGCCGGGCCTGGCCATTCTGCACGCCTGCCTCCGGAGTCCCCCAGTCCCCTCAGCCCCCCAGCCTCCCAGGGCCGGCTCGAGGTGCAGGCAAGCCTTGATGTTGGCTGCCCAGCTGCCCAGGGCTGCCCGAGGCTCAAGTAACCAGGGCCGCCCGAGGCTTGCGCTGCCGGCAGTGGCAGCAGCAGAGGTGTGATGGGGGTGTCGCCTTCCCCTGATTGCCGGGTCTCCTCCCGCCCCTGAGGGCTCTCAGGCTGTGAAGAGGGGACAGGCCAGGCTGAGGGACGCCCCCTCCAGTGCATGAATTTTCATGCACTGGGCCTCTAGTTATTAATAATGAACTACAATGTTCGCTAATGACTGATTACTATAATCGTGTTGTATTCATTTCCCTTATGCGCCTTATGCACAGGCACACCATTTCTCCCCACTAATACTAGCAGCGAATATTTTAGCAATCGATTGCCACATCATTAGTCCTGGACTGACTTGTTTGGTGTGCACAACAGGAAATATTTCCCTTTCGGAGAACAAGAAAAATAGGTTTATTTGGTTACCCTTATTAATTTGTGTAGTTATTCAGTATCTGGTAAGTTCATGTTTAAGAAAAAATATTAATTTTTCTTAAAATGTCCTATTATTTTATATTAACGATCACTCATTTATTACAGCCCTTTGTATTCAGCATGTCTTATCAAAATAAACCTACGTTTCTATGAAAATTGAAGCTTTTGTTTTTTTTGCGGCCCACATAAACTTAAACCTTATTTATTTGGCCCGTGTTAGCCTTTGAGTTTGACATGCTTGCCCTAACCATCCTTGGCCTGGCATTCAAGGCTCTCCATGCTCTCACCCTAATCTACTTCTTCAGCCTTACTCTCACAGTCCAGCTCTCTGTTTTACCTCCATGCCTCCGCAAATCCTGTCCATGGTGTTGGTGTGCCTTTCTCCTCTCACCTGCACAAGCACAAACCCAGCTTACAGGTTACCTTTAGAACAAAATCTTTTTCATCCTCCCAGACACAAGTCCTCTCTTTTTCCTCTGAATATCCACAACACTTAATTCTGTCTCCCTTTGGTACATCTGATTTTCAGTTTGTTTTTATTTGTTTGTTTTTAATATGTTTTTATTTATTTTAGAGAGAGAGGAAGGGAGAGGGGTAGAGAGATAGAAACATCACCGATCGGCTGCCTCCTGCACGCCCCCTACTGGGGATTGAGCCCACAACCCAGGCATGTGCCCTGAGCGGGAATCGAATGGGGGACCTCTTGGTTCATGGGTCCATGTTCAACCACTGACCCACACTGCCGAGCTGATTTTTTGTTTTATCATGTTGATAACTTGCAGTCCCCGGCCAGACATCTTTCCGGTGTTCTGCACCTACATATCCCACTCGTTCCTGGATAGTCCACTTAAATGTCCCATAGGCACCTCCAGTTCCTTTCCTAAATCAAACTCATTATCTTTTCCCCAAAACCTGTTATCCTCCTACGACCCATCCTGATTACTGGTACCACCATGCACCCAGTTAGCAGCCGGAAGTCCTGGCGTCATTCTAGCTCCCTTTGCCACATCCCCACTCTCACGTGAGCTCCCTGCGAGTAAGGACCTTGTTCAGCACTGTATCTCCCGTGCCTAGATAGTGCCTGGCACGCAGTAAGCATTACACACAAGGACAAAGACATTTCTTATCATTTAGACACCATCACATAACAAGTCATCCCAAAACTCAGAGGCTTAAATCTACTCTCATGTAAATCTGCAGCTCACGTGTCCATGGGTTGGCAGATCTTGGGACTCAAGACTTCCATCGTAAGACTGTGAGTCCTCTGGAGGCTCGGTCCTGTTTGGCTGGGGTGACTCTCTTACACTTGTTTCTCATCCTCCTCCTGGGCCCAGGGGACTACCCCCAGTATGTTCTTCTCAGG